CACACACACACACACACACACACACACACACACACACACACACACACACACACACACACACACACACACACACACACACACACACAGAGCAGCCAGCAGAAAGTAGTCAGTCAGTTCATCTCAGTCAGTGAGTTTCCAGGAAATCAGCCCTGGGTAATTTGTTGCTTCCTTTCTCGAGCAGGTTTAAGCACCGCACGTCACAAAAGCAAACAACATCAGTGCGAGAAAACTGATTGCACATAATGGGGTGCTGGCAGCGCGCTCTGATAGCGMTGAGAGAGAGAAAGAATGTGTTGCAGTAAGAGGGGTCTATATTGGCCATGTAAATCAGCAGTGAAGCATTCTGGGGCGTCTTGTTACAGGCCTTATACGGGGGCCACGGCCCCTGTGTCTCTGCTGGTCTCAGCTATTCTTAGCCCGTCTGTCCCTCAGCCTCGACCCTGCAGGCAAGAAATGATTTTCTATCTAAAAACTGCGTTTAATAATGACTCTTGAGGTTTTGTTTTCCTGGCAGCTTCTTGAGTTCAGGGTTTGTTAGAGACAGTTAACTTGTTTTCTGCATCGCCTCCGCTTCGCTTTCTTTCCTGTGCGTGCTCCTTCACACGTGTGTCTGCGTGCACCWACGCGTGTGTCCGTTTGTGTGTTCTCCACAGCACCAGACCCACCCACCTCACCTCACCAGCACCAGCAGGGCGTTYGTCCTGAGAAGTGGGAGCAGAGCAGGAGAGACGGTTGGGCTGACGAGGGTGGGTACGGCCACGCTACTGACCGGGACGAAAACAACGAAGAAAAAAAAGTGGGGATAAGCAGAACCTAAAAACAAAATAAAAGGGGGAAAAAATCAAGCAGACGGATCAAAGACACACTGAGAAGGAGCTGTTAGTTGGAGGAGTGCTGACATTTACCAGAAGATGAGCGCATACACAGTGACTCTGAACGGCCCCGCTCCGTGGGGCTTCAGACTACAGGGGGGGAAGGACTTCAACATGCCCCTCACCATCTCCAGGGTAAGGCCACGGTTTGTGCTCAGAGTTACACAAAACTTAGAAAAAACGAGCAACACATTGTGTTTGACAGAAAGCATAAATTTACAAAAAACTCAAATATCTTCAACAAGAACTTTAGCAAAACGAGCAAAGACTTTGTCACTTTTCTTCGCATTTTCTGGTGTTTTCATCGATTTTTAGTTGCAAGTTTATGGAGTCATTACTAATAAAACAAATTCATAAATCATTAAAGATCTTCCTATATTTTACTCATTTAACTTCGCAAAACAAAGTTTGCTAAACTTCCCAGCTTGGGTTCATGCATGTGCATTACTGTAAAGTGTGTGCGTAGTTGCGTTTGTGTGTGTGTGTGTGCACATACTGTAGGTGTGATTTGTATTTGTGGGTGATTATGTAACGSTGCTGGATGTGGTGATGATGACAGGGAGGCTCTGCTGTGATCGACACACAGATTAACAGAATAAACTAAGGAAAGTCAGAAACTGAAACCCTGCAGYTGCAAATAACTGAGCTGTATTTTACCAGTCTTTCAAAAAATATGATAAACCGTACATTTAAATTACATTTTAGTGCTTAGTTTTTACCTGACGTGAAAAAAGGGACATAATATAACTGGTTACATTTATTCAAATTTATGGTTTTTAATCAAATAAAATCTTTCAATCCACTATGGTGAGCCATGCCTCATATTCAAGCCATAAAGAATGTTACATTATTTTTTAAAGTTGCAAGGTTAAAATAGTTGTCAAGCCTCAGTTTAGATTCARTTTCCAAGTATTAAAGCACAAATGAAGACAGCAACCGAGTGTTGAGCAGAGGCCGGGCCGCTCTCTGGCACCACTGCTGGTGTATTAACAGAGTTTGCTTTAAATAGCATCAGAGAGGAGTTTGGATGGATGAAGAGATGTGAGGAGTGCGAAGAAGCTAATGGCAGCTTGTGTTACCTTTAGTAAGCTTAATTCCTCGCCGCGAGTCGGTTTCATTTCCAGCCGCAGGAGCTGCTTCATTGGAGGAGCGGACAGAGTCAGGAAATAACAGAGAGGAGACAAAGRAGAGGCTGCCGCAACAATGAGATCTCTGCTCCCTCACCTCTCCAGCTTTTTATTCTGCAGCCACAGTTAGGTTTAACTCTCACAGACTGATCTGTTCCTGCCTTCTCAGTTTGATTTTCGAGGTTTATTTCTGGTTTGTATTGTGAAAATTTTAGATGTGTTTCATCTCCTGATTGCGACGGAGCCCAGCAGGTTTAACATAAAACACCTCAGCTTGACGTGACAGCTCGGGGTGACATTACAGTTTGACGCAGCGCTGCTGGGGTTTGGATTTCTGACCACTTTTGCCAAGAACTAAGAAAAGAAAGAGAAATGGAGACAGTGGATTCTGTACATATTGTTAGCTAAAGCTCAAAATACTAGAAAGCCACCCCTGACGCATTTCGTGTTCAGGTTTAGATTATTTCTTTTAAGAAAATTGTGTCATTTATTGGTGTTTTAATCTCCCGATAATCTGAAACAACWCTCTGGTTTCTCATTGGCTGCTGAACTCATCCACTGTACATGAAATATATTTAAGTTGCTGCTTTTTAACTAAAAGAAAAATAAACAGATATGTTTTAATAATAAAAAAATCTTTCAACATTCCTGCAAATCTCCTGTTTAAAGATAAATTTAAAGCTTTTAATACATATTAAACATGTTTGGAACAATTTGATAATCAGAATCTGCATCAACGTGCATGTAGTACTTCCTAACTACATAAAAAAAATCTCAACCGGAACTTCTGAAGGATGAAAAATGAGCTCAAATAGTATGAAGAGGTGACATACCTGAGTTCTTTTTAGTCGGTGTAAACAAGAAAGTTATGGATGAAAGTCAGCAGCAGGTGTGTGTTTGCATGTGTGTCTGTCTGTGTGTGTGTGTGTGTTGGGTTTTGAAGGTGTGCACAATAAAGTCTATCAGCACGAAGCCATAGGCATCAACAGCATTTCTTATTTTTAACTCTTTAACGAGTCAACTGTAAGTCTAAACCCAACACTGTACGTCTCTAAACTTGCCGAAGCCTCGTTTCCGTGGAGTTTAGCTGCTAAAGTTCGGCTTCGTGGCCGAGCCGAAAACATAAACAGCTGAGGGTCAAACTGTGAAGGGTCATTTAGAGTCCTTCTGTTTCAGCTGCCCAAAGTTCCAAATCAGACATGACAACTTCCTGTTGTTTTCTACCTATTTMCCTCAGCAAAGACATCAGATTAAATAAATAGTTTGAATAGATSATGATTGTTCTGCATGTTGTTGTCCATGTGTGGTCCACCTTCCACAGATAACCCCCGCCAGTAAGGCATCAGGTGGGACCCTGGCCCAGGGCGACATCATCTCCGCCATCGACGGGGTCAGCACCGATGGGATGACACACCTGGAGGCCCAGAACAAGATCAAAGCCGCCATCAACAAACTCACGCTCTCAATGCAAAAGTAAACAACCAGTAAAAAACCCAAACAAGCAAAGTTTACGAACGTTCGAATCTGTTTTAGATAAAAGATGAGCAACTTTCCTCCCACAAGAAAAACTCGTCAAAACTGAAACTAACGTCRCAGCAAGAGAAACACTGCTGAACTCATTTTGAATCTATTTTCTACTGTGTACAGATCAAGGCGTCCCGCTCCAGTTCCCACAGCAACTCCAAGAATGGAGTCGCCGATGCCCATCATCCCACACCAGAAGGTATGAACCACACCTGCTTCTTCGTCAAGTCAGCAAATTCACAAAACTATACAAAAACATCCTCATATCAWGTACCTGTCAAAAACAAATGTGTTGTTTGAGAAAATCCATTACTGTTGTCGTGAAGCAGAGCTCTGCTGCCCTCTAGTGTCAAACATTCACAGATCAGCTGCAGAGAGGTCAGAGGTCAACTTCAGCCAAAAACACAGAAGAAGAAACACAAAACCGACACCTTTATCACATTTTCATGTAAATTTAACAAAAATCGTGATTTTCTATATAATTTAAAAGAATGAATAATATAATATAATATAATATAATATAATATAATATAATATAATATAATATAATATAATATAATATAACATAAATGAATTTGTAAGGCTTTCGTAAAAACCTCAAGAAAAAAAGTGTTTTTCTATTTGTAGGATCTTTACTGCATTCAGGTATCCTGGGGTCATTCATGCTATGAGGTTCATTGTCAATTAAAATATAAATAAAAGCAGTTGGTAGGGCTAAATGTTGAGACAATTTATTAAAAATAAATATAATACAAATAATATTATTTAAAAATATAATATATAATGTAAATATTTTGATGAAAAAACTAAATGTCCATTTATGTTCAAAAGTAATTTCCAGTAAAACAGTCACATTTCCTATAATATTAAATACATATGTTTATGTATGTATATGTATGTTTACTATGTATGTATAACCCTAACCCTACACCTAAMCCCTAGCTCTATAACCCCAAAACTGTCGGATGAATGTCTCACATCTTATGCAACACTCTCTGATATTTTAAAGTCCTAAATTTATCTAAAAAGAAATCTAATTACTGAGATTTTTACATTATAAA